TAACGCACAGGCTACTAAATGTTTCAAAAATATCCTCTGGTCAAACATTTAAGATGAAGGGAGCTATTCAGGCTTCTCAAGAATATTGCAAAGTCTTGGGACAGATTACAAGTGAATTCATTTGGATCTGGCTAATTGTTCTTCACAGAGCAGTCTTGTCCCTGGTACAATGTGGAACCCAAAGTACAGAGAATGGCACGTACTGTACCAGATTGTGAAAACAAGTGGAACTCACTCAAGGTCAAATCATTACTCTAAGTCTGAGATCAAAGATACAAAATATCGACTTGACCGGCTTAAACCATACACCAGCTGTCACCATGTGAGGTCTTTGGAGGGAAATGTAAAAGGAAAAAAAGTAAACATAAAGTTGTGTGTGTGTGTGGGTGTGTGTGTGTGTGTGTGTGTGTGTGTGTGTGTGTGTGTGTGTGTGTGTGTGTGTGTGTGTGTGTGTGTGGTGTGTGTGTGTGTGTGTGTGTGTGTGTGTGTGTGTGTGTGTGTGTAAACAAGGACACGCACTGTCATTGATGTGAAGCACCTGTCCCCCTGATATAATCCATCTACAGAGCAGCAATTTCAGAGCTGCAGTTTTATAATCTGAAATCCAGACAAGCCTGTGACACCTATCTGCAACAAAAAAAAATGAACAGCAGCAGAACTTCAGCTGAAACAGGCCAACATGTGTGGATCTGGTCAGCTCCCCCTGTGGAGATTCTGCAGCGTTGGATATCTTTTCATATGTAGACAAGTTAGATAATCCTGGTGAAAATATATGTTGTGTATAACTTTAAACCCATTCCTCTGAACCCTTCCTTGGTTGGATCCATGGGGAGGGAGGGGCAGAATGTCAAGGGCGTGCATTGCTTTGATTTCACCACTGTGGGGCACCAAAGCAGGACATTTTCAGATATTAAACCTTTAAACTTGTAATGGATAATGAGTTAGTAAGTATGTTATCATTCCCAAATGCATCATGTACATAGCAACTAAGCATTCATTTAGAATGTCTGGCAACCTGAAGTTCATCATTTGCTCTTCTTTGGTCCTTTCCAACCTCTAATGTACATATTTGGCTTTTTAGTTGCTGATTCACAATCATTGTCTGTTTTGTAGCCTTTATTTAACCAGGTGAAAGCCCCTTGAGATCAAAATATCTCTTTTTCATGGGTGACCTGCAGGACATTGGTTACACATGTAACATAAAAACAACAGAACAACAATAAGGACGACATACAACATAATGTACAGGGTACAGTTTACAAACTCTATTTACAGTGACAGGTACCATGAGTATCAAACAGCATGTCACCCAGCCGAGTTTTAAAATGATGCAGGGGAACCAAAGTGCTCGGTTTTAAACATTTGTGTAGACTGTTCCAAGTTAGTGGAGCTGCACAACTAAAAGCTTTCTTCCCTAAGACAGTCCTAGCACTTGGCACGTTTAATAAAACCACATCATGAGATCTCAGGCAATAAGTACTTTCAATTCGTTGAGAGATCAGAGAGCAGATATAAGAAGATGCTGTTTGGTTTGCTGGCCATGTAGCCTACAGTGGATTTATCAGAGCTTTTAACTAAAGGCTGCCTGCTGATGCTAGAAAATGTTTATTAGAGTTTGAGAGTGAACTGAAAGACTGATGGCGTTAAATCTAATACAGTAAACTGAAAAATGCTAATACGCTCTTATAGAGTTGAGTGGGTGATAATGCTGTGTGTTTTCATTACTACAGGTGACCTCTTTCACATTGTTCATAGTCCTCTGATCCATGTGAAACACATCATGAGGGTGGTTTTTAAATAGACTTGTGATGGAATAAAATATTCATATTCTGCAATACATGCAGCATCTGGGTGTACAGACATGACATGAAAACTTTATGCTTTACTATTGTCCTCGGCATCTGAATGAGTTCAACATGGACAGACATGCACAAGATAAAAGCAGAGGCCATTTGGTGTATTTCAAAAGACACAAAGAGACATTTCAAGAGCAAAGTGTGTGGCACAGCATGAGCAGGATAACGGCATCGTACCAATCATTTACGTGTTTAGTTAGTTCCAGAATTTGTTCTCAGAGTAGAACTTCATTGGGGGGTCTTGAAACAGACTATCTAAGTCTCTTGTAATTCCTTTCAACATCAGTAGATTGCTATTACTGAATGTGGTAAAGCAAGTACGGGCAGGTGAAGAGGATAGTAACTGATGATAGGAAATCAATCTTCAATTGGGGTTTTTTTTTGGCACCTTCCAAATGGATAACCATAAAAGCAATGACGCAGGTTAACACAATGAAAGATGAAAACAATTAAACAGAAATTGGTCCCACTTATGCCTTTTGAATGTAAGTGGAAAAACCTGTGTGTGTGTGTGTGTGTGTGTGTGTGTGTGTGTGTGTGTGTGTGTGTGTGTGTGTGTGTGTGTGTGTGTGTGTGTGTGTGTGTGTGTGTGTGTGTGTACATTCGGACATGTTCTGATTAGACATAAACTTGTGATTATATATCTCCAGATAATAAGGTAAATACAGAGTCTTCCCAAAGACAAGTGTGTATATATTTCTGGAAAGAGAACATTTGATCATACACCCTTTCATTGTGTGACACTTTTCCATGTGTACAATTAGCTAATGTTTTATCACACGGTGATTCAGTCAAAAGCAAAAAAAACGGTCTGGGCCACTCTGGAAATGTTTGGTAAGTTGGCACTTTTAACCATTTTCCTCTTCTTATCTCTATGTCCGTCTTTTCTGTTCCTCTTTTTGCTGCCTCATGACCCGCCAAACCTCTGACGTTAAGCCCCTCTCTCTAACTGACAGCAGTGAGCCTATTAATGTGTGTGAAGTGTGAGTACTTGCTTGTGTGGTTGTGTTTCTGTACTTTGGGGTTAGATTTTGTGTGTATGTGTGTTTTATGTGCTCTGACAGCAGTATTTGAACAGTACTGGACAGCCAGTCTGTTGCTGATAGGAGAGTTACTCCCCTGACAGTTTCTGAAGGACGGTGCTGATAGAACAAGCAGTCTGAGTGACCTTCATTCAACCAAAGACCCAGATGAAAAACAACTCCTTGGAATTTGGAGAACCTACTGGTCTCTGTGATTCACAAGCATATGTGGACCAATTGCAGAACTGCTTATTAGTCATAGTGCTGATGCCTTGCAGAAACAATTCCCTGGTAAACATTATTCATGTCGAGGGAGACATGAATAACAAAGATGTCTTATGATGTTAATTAATAGCAAAACCACAATGCTGTCACTCAAAACTCTGATGATGCATCAAATCTTAAGCAAATGTGTATATTTTTGCTCCTTCAAGAAACGCACAATTAAAACCACATGGTTCATGTCAAATGTTAGGGTTTTCCAACTAAATGTAAGGACGCAAAGTGCATGCTGCTACTTGATGCGTAATCTGTGGGTTTGGCACTCGGTTTCATTGAGAAATACAATACCAAAATAGTAATGCAGACTGCATGTGTCTCTGTGTATCCGTGTTTGTACTGTATATATGTTTTGCAACACAAGTCAGTTTAATACCTGTGTCCCCCTGAGCACAGTGCAATTAAAATCCAATCCTCTCCTGGAGTCCATTACATGCTGGGTTTACTGACAGGGAAAGGAGCTCAAATGGACAAGAGAGAAGGGGCAAGGGGTTTTATTTGGAGAGCAGAACAACAAAAAGATGGAAAATATGATCACAGAGGTTGCACTGTCGGCAAATGTGAACATCTTTTCAATGCATCGACAGGCAGCTGCTGTGAAACTTGCTGTCGGTTCAGCATCAGAGTTATAGTTAGACAGTCCTTGTAAGAGAATCTGGCTTTACTTTATCAGAAGCAATTACATATGGATGGTATGATGGGGTGACACTAAAACAGGGATATACAAGCATTTATCTTTAATTTCTGTGTACATTGACATAAGAGCAGTAAGGAAATCAAATGCAGAGATAAAGTCTAAAGGCCACATGAGATGGCTTGGATGCAGTTAGATAAGTTAAAATAAATACAATAGAGACATTAAAAAGTCTCTATTGTATCTATATGTGCATAGTGTCCTCCCTTTTCCTATCTGTCTTCAGCTGTAATAGCTAATTAAGGCAAAAATCCCAATGGGGAATATTCAGCATTTAAAGGTTTGAGTGACCATCATTAACCCCTGCTTGACAGACCGCATGACTCTGACAAGCCACTGATAACAATGACACATTTTTTCTCTGCAGTGATGTAGTCATCGTTTTTTTCTCTCACTTTAATGTAGTTTTCACTTTTAAACCCAAAACCCTAATGTGTTTGCATAGTTAATCGCTGCTGACCCTTCAATGATCTTTGCTATTCTACATCAGATCAAAAGGCCATATGTAACATAACAGCTCTAAAACACAGTAGACGGCTCAAAGTAAAAGTTTTTTTTATGGGGCTCGATAGTGAGCCATGTCACAATAAAACACAAAAATGTATACTTTGTTCACGAACCACTTGTGGTAATGAAGATCGCAGAGCTACCAGGTTTTTAGTGTACAGTCAAAGGTGCTGGAGAGAACCTCTTACATTTAGCATGGAAGGCCCAAGAACATTGTTGGTTCAACCACTGTGGTATTTGACAACATTTAGCAAACATTGAAGTGGTCTGACTGCAGTTTAAAACAATGGTGAATTGAAGATGTGTGAATGTCTTGTTTATCAGAAGACAAAATACAAATAAACCATGTATTGACTCTGTCTGAAACTAACCATTAGCCATTCTGAATAAGTGAAGCTATACATTCACTAGAACCTGTTTTTTTGTTGTTGCTATTATCACTTGCTTACAAAGTGCTTTTGATTAAAAGCTCTATTAATGCAATAAAAATAAACCCTACAACACATCACTTCTCTTACTTACTGTATTCACCTGAACCTGCGCTGGAGCTATTTAGGTGCCACTGACAGCAAGTGCCTCTGAAAGGGTCCGCCCTGACGGAGGAGGCAACGACTTGGAGGAACTTCATAGAGCTGCTTCACTGCCTCACTATACTGTATGTCACAGGCTGTATAAATATGGGATCTCCCCCCCTGTGGATCACACACTTGAACAATTGCGCCCGCGCAAGAATCTGATGGGTCATTTGAATACAGCGATCCTCTCTGGGTAGATGAGGTACAGTATAGTAGGTAGTTGTATAGTGAAGAGTCTTTGCGTGAGCGCGTGTGTTTTTGTGTGAATGTGCACTCCTAGAATAGAAAGCCAAAGGAAGAAGAAGAAGAAGAGACAAGCAGGATCGGTTTGCGCCTTGTTGAAATCCAGGGTGAAGCAAATAGGTAGTGTGTAACAGATCAGCTCTTCGCGCACCCTTTGTGGATTTAATGGATCAACGGATGTGATGCCAATATATATCATCGACCGAAAATTTCCCGACACATCTGGTAAGTCGCTCACGCATCCAGAGCGCGTATTATAACGATGTGCCATCTGTGTGCGTCTCCCTCTGCGTGCATGTGTGCGCGTGATTACATTATATTTGCGTGTGCCCGTGTGCCGGCTGGGTGACACGGGGCAGCATGCACCAGTTGATCATGCCACCCCCCTCAGAATTCCCGACGTGCAACAGGAGATGAGGACCTGGCATGCATTTAACTTGGTCCTGCTCACTGTGTGTGCTGAATATGTGTTCAGTTGCATGAGGTCCTATCAGAAAACACACTTTAATTAATGTCTTAAGCTCCTGAAAATCCTAAACTTACTTTGTGGTTTTGGTTCATTGCATATGGGCTGTAAGTGTACTAATGGTGTTTTAAGTGCGGTGCTATATTCCTTACTATGCCTCAAAAAGGTTTTTTCCAATTGAGTAATGGTTAATAGATTAAACTGCTATCAGAAAAACTAGTTGGAACTTCATTTCAGCAAAATCAAAGCACCTTTTGGCTTCCTGTGTGCAACCCTGTGCCGAAACAGAGAAGGTGTTATTGTAAATTAAAGTAGGCCACATTCCTGTATTATTCAACCTCAAATTAGGTACATGACATGTTCATAGCTTTCACAAATGTAGGTTGTTAAAAAAAGACTTTGTGCAAGTCTTGGTTTACTTGTGTGTGTGCAGACACGCAGGGCGTGTCAGTGAATTATGGGTTTAATTTTGAAGAGGTTAGCAAGGTCTCACTAGGGACTGTTTATGTTTCAGATAAATCTTGACAGACACGATAAAGAGCTTTCAAACCATTCAGGAAAAAAACAGAGCCACAATGCGTAAAGTAAAGTCAATGACTGCTTCCTGCAACAAGAGCAGTAACTCCAGCAGCAGAAATGGCAGCTCACCTTAAAAATAACTCACACACATACAGTAGGTGTTTATCCCTAACAGAGCAAACATCCTTAAAGGCATCATTGCCATGCACATACTACACTAAGACACTCCTTTATCCATCCAGAAGCAATTTTGAGAGGGAATGAGAATGACCTGACTTCAAACAGGTGCAATTCCTATATCCTACCAAGGCATATAAAGACACACAGCAGTTATCATTATGGGTGAGTGATACATAAGTGCAGGTACGTGCTCCTTAAGATTCATACCTAACGTGCCTCGGCTCACTCAAACATGATTTAGGACCTCTCAGTGTCCCTCTCTGTTTTTACGCCCCCTCCCTTTCTCTCGCTCATTTTTGTACATTCCTTCACTCCGGCTTTATGTCCCTATTTCCAAGACATTTGACAGGCATTTTCATTTCTTGGCATGCCACCTGTCAGGATTAGAGCAAATGAATATGCAACTTCTCCAATGCTGACACGCATGCATGGTTTTATTAGAGTTGTGGGACGGCTGTCACTGTGATGTGTTTGCTCGGACAACAAAGAAAAGAAGAACAAAAAGTTGACACAAAGTTCCTGCCCCCTCCCTCAGCCAGTCAGAGTCAGGTTGACAGGAAGTTCTGATTAACACTTTAACTAGTGTCCTTCTACTGTCTCCTCTACTGTTTTCAGCCTTCAATCACTCATTTTCTGCCCATATTGTCAGTTGTCCTTATCCCTGTTGTTGAATTGCATGCTTCAAACCCAAACACTTCAAAAAGAAAAATATCTATTACATGCACGGCCACCATGTCCTAAAGTAAATCTTTTGACCCAGAGTGAAGTCCTGCATGCTGTCGGGTTAGTGTGGAGTTGGGAAAGCAGCCTGTTGGGAGCTGTGGTTGGTGTAATACAGCATTACCAGCCCGGATAATGACTGTAACTGGGGGAGTGTTCTTTACTTTGGGCTATTGTTTGGTCATGAAACAGAATGATAGGGGATTTGGAGGTTCAGCAGAACTGTTGTTATTATATTCATATAGTCGGTGTGTATGTGGCTTTCTTCTTGCTCAAAGGAAGCTAAGAGACTTTGTCCTTTATTTGTGTGTCGCTCTCATCTCAGCACGCCCAAAGAGAGACCCACCCATCTGCACAGATGCCTCATGACACCAGCTTGTAAAAGTGTGTGTGAGAGCATGGCTGTGGATGTGTGTGTGTGAGTGCGTGTCCATGCGTGTGCGCCTTCGGTGAGGGATTAAGGATGAATTGCCTTCAGAGATAGACTTAACTGGTCGTTACACAAGCTTTGTGAAGTTCTCACTTGGCCCCAGAGAGGAAAACAACAGTGAGTAGCAGAGGAAAGGTCTCTCTTGGTTTCTACTCTTCAGAGGTGTGTTTCTTCTTTTTTTTTTTTTTCGAGCAAACTGCTACTCGATATAAGAACTTCCATTGTTCTCACCTTTCTCTTCGAGACTGGTTAAAAATACAATATTATGGTTTGTCTTTTATTCTCTTAAGTTTTCTTATGACTCTCAGGGGTGTTTTATCTTTCTCTCAATCATTGTATTGTTTTTCTTTAGCTTGCGCTTAATAATTCTGAAGACATTCTGTTTGCATTAACACTGTTGACATATCTTTATATTTTGATTGAAAGTAGTAAGTTGCCAAAGTAATAACATCTTCAATCTTGAGAATTTGCAAACAGCAAATGTTTGGAATGTTTGCTTGATGGTTCAATGATGAATTGATTTTGGGAATTGGATTTTTAAATGATGCTGATACAATTGAAAATACATGTTTTCATGACAAGTCTTAGATTCTTTAGTTCATTTTTAGTTCACATTTGAAAAATATATATTCTTTTCCAAATATAATGCATGTGACTCTCCTTGTTTTCTTCTGTTTACGGCTGCAACTAATGCTTATTTTCATTATCAATAAATATATCCCTTTATATTTCTACCAGTTCATTAATCATTAAATAAAATGGCAAAATTGTAAAAAAATTTCACAAAGCCCAAGATTACATTGTTTTGTCCTACTGTACCTACAAAAATACCAACAGGAAACTACTCAGTTTAAAAGGACAAACTCAGAGAAACAGCACATTCTCTAATTAAGGAAGCTGCACCAGCAAATGTTTGCCATGTTTCTTTGATGAATGGCATTACATTTGTTGACTCATTTATTTTTGCTTTGTTTTTCTCCCTCTCCTCAGGTGAGTTGATACAGCCGGCAGCTAAAGGAGGAGACCTGAGAATGACAGAGACAAACCCCCCCAAGCTGGCTAAGAAGCCTCGCTGGACCTCCCTTGAGGTCGGCCTCATTACTATTGTCTCCTTGCTCTTCATCGTCATCGTCGCCCTCATTATCCTTTTTGCAGCACAGAAGACTGGTGAGTGCTGAATAAGGAGTAAAGAGTGAGAGTGAAATATACTTATATGAAAACTTAAGTGGGGATAACAGACTCAGGTTGATAAGATGTTCAGCTGATAGGACATTCTTTGTTTTACTAGTTTTTTTCACCTCAATATTGAGTGCATTTTTCAGGACTTTAGAAGCTGTGCACATGCACTCACTGTCACTTCCAGCTGGAGTTGAATGTTAAGCGTGAAGGACTATGATTTAAGAGCAGTACTTTGTTCAGGTGAATAGAAGACGCTCGAGTTGTGTGCTTTTAAATCAAAGTGCAAAAGTACAACCACTGTGCCAGAAAGATGAATGCAGCGTGCAAATGTCCTTTTTAGAGTTTCCTTTGTGGTCTAATGACTTTTTACACAACAATATGCACCTTCAAAGCATTGTTATATTTTACAGTTCAGACTTTTGTGTTGATTAAGAATGGTGTAACCGATTATTTATAATGGACAAAGGGAAATCAAACAGAAAACCCCACACAACTATATTTATTTATAATCAATCCTGCTTCATTCAGATCAAGCCTACAATATGAGTACCCCATGTTTTTTAATCATTAATATATTGACTTGGATATCAAATGTATTTAACTACTACTGACCTAAAGTCACTCTTCCATAACATTAGGATTTGTTATTCACTAATAAGTCCAAGGACTACGGATCACGTGTGTGTTTTGCTATTATTATCTTCAGCAATCTCGTGTTTGATAAAGGTTTACACTTCTCTGTCAGGAGAATTCGAGAGTTTAATGACTCTATCTATGTATGTACCTGTGTGTGAACATGTGTTCACATTATTGTCATTGCTTATAGCAAATCAAGCAGTGTTAATATATAAAGACATGACAGGTGTGTGTCAGTATATGTCAGCCTGAATATGATTAACAGTTTAGCATTTACATTTTCCAGACAGAATGGAAGCAACACTTCTAAGTTGTTTAGGGATATATGGTTTGTATAACAAGTAATACATTAAAAGGTAAAGCAAAGTGTTATAATATAATGTATTTACTGATGACTTCAAAAATGCCACATAATAATTGTTTCTTTTTCATATCTCTGTAGAAGAAATCTGCACCACAGCTGACTGCACGCAGTCAGGTAAGCACTGTGTGTTTTGTGTGTTTTCTTTGGTCTCATTCTGAGGGCCTTAATTTTTCTCTGAGGGGAAATCAAATGTTGAACATTTAGTGAGTGATGCAGAAGGTATTCAAAAAAGTGATCAAACAATCAGAAACAGTTCTTATCGACAGAAACATGTTCCAAAGGTTTATTGGTTTTGGATGATCTCTGAACAACTATACAAGATAAGTGGAGAAACTGAACTACTTAATCAAATGCATTAGTATGTTTGTGTTCAACGTGTGTCCAAAATGTCCAAATCTGAACACTTTATTTTCTCAATTTAGTAGAATTTTTTTTCATATAGTAAAAAAATAAAATAATAACTCTTTCTCTAGTTTCCAGCAACAGATGGCCATTTCTAACAATGCATTTTTGGGGAACTAAACTCCCCATTCAGTCAGATTTGACAGACTTCACAAGAGATCTCTCAGCTGCCTCATGTTATCTAATTGCAGCTGAAAAAAGTTCACACAAGTTCAGAACTGGTGCCAAAGTATCCCATGTGTGCCATGATACTGCTTTATATTTGCAAATGTGTATTCACAGTTCAATTTTAAGGGGCTTTTAGGTGCATTATGTTATTCCTTGCTTCTCGAAGAATACACATTTTGTCAAGCTTCTTAAAATTGAGGTGGTCCATAATCTGACGTGCTGCTTGATAAATTCATGCTAATTTTGAGACGCGAACATGAATTTAACTCTCATATTCGTCCATTCACTGAAAGATTTAATCCAGCAGAAGGTTAGCTTAGTTTAGCTTAGCACGAAGATTGCAAACAGGTATAATCGGCTATCGCATAGCTGTTTCTGTAGCAAACAAAATCCACAGCTATAAAGCTGACATGTGGCAGGCTTTAGCGACCTCCTAGAGTCCTTGCTGTTTGAATGGCAACACCAAAGTGATAGTTAAAAAAATATTCCAGCATGCTTTCCTGTAATCACACAGAAACTTTACACTAAATACATTATATTTTTGCTACACTTCAGAACCTGTTGGCTGCTTCTTCTTACTGCATTGTTTATGCTAAGCTAACAAGCAAATGGCTTGTGTGTGAGTATGTGAGTGGTAGGCCTATTGATCTTCTCATTAATTCTTAGGAATAAAGTAGATCATATTTATCAATCAATAAATGCATCTGGCCTTCTTCCTACGGCTATAGTTTTCAATAGAATTGATAAGAAGATCATTCTAGTGCATAATGTCATACTACCAAGGACTTTGATATACATTGTGTTAGTTTAATTCACACTGTACAAATAACCTGCAGTATAATCAGGGGTGCACATAACTGGTACGCAGGTACGCATGCGCGGCATACATCTGAAATGCGTCACTTGTCTCACCAAGCGCATTTGCGTACCGGCGGACTTGTGAAGCATTTCCAGAAGGCGCTTCGATCACTGGACGACATAGCCGGTCGCCGTGCGCACAGACGGGGCTGCTGTTAACGTCGGTGTGTACAACGGAATTGTGCCACAACTTCTGGCGCGAGTTCCACGAGAGTGCTCCACTGGCGCCCACCGCTCCCATCAACGTTCAATACCACACCCCCCCTGTCGACGTTCGCGAAACAGAGGGGCTGTTACGCCCCTCTCTAGGAACAACACACACCAGTTGGAATTGGTCATAGTTACAAGGGTTTATTATAATTAAATAGTGGTGACAAAATAATAAAGGCATACAGCCTGGCACAAACAAAGTGCCAAATACGGATCAACAAAAAGAGAACTCCAAAAGAGAGTTTTACAGATTATACAGCGTAATAAGTAGTACCCAAAAAGGGAAACAAAACCTCACGTTAAACGTGGTACAAGTAACTGAAAAGGCTGCACAAAAACACAGCTGCTGCTAATCGACGGGCGCTAACCGCAAAGCGTCCCTGGATCCTATTTACACAATCGTACCACAGTACCTAACTAAACACAGAAACACTAGTTCAACACGCTGCTAAACAGTACAACTTTAACACAGGACACAAAAGCACTACACGTCAACCAAACGAATAAAGTAGCCTACACAAGAGGTGAGAGGCGTCTGTCCCACATCACAGAGCCTCCAGAGTGATGATCAGACAGTCACAGGCTTTGAAGTCATCTCCAGCAGATGCGCGCCGGCTGTGCGCTATTGGAGCGCGTCGGGCCCGGCATGCTCCAATCACAGTCTTCAGGAGGCGGACCAGGAAATGGGCAGCCAATTATGTCAGGGCTACCGCACAGCTCATTTACATGTCACACGCACCGCTGAAAACAATCAGACAGATGACTGAGCAGATATAAAACAGAGTCCGTAATAGGGCCGAACACAGAACTTTGCGCGGGTAGCCCTGAGTACCAAACATTGTATCCTGGTAGCCTACTCATTTGAGTAGCTCACTAAGAAAGTTATGTGCGCCCCTGAGTATGATATAGTTTCTGTCAGAACGTATTTTCTCCAGTTCCTCATATTTTTTCACTCTGTCCATGCAGCGTCTCGCCTAATTGAGAACATGGATGCTAACGTGAACCCTTGTGACAACTTCTATGAGTATGCCTGTGGAGGCTGGCTGAAAAAGAACATCATCCCTGAGACCAGCTCTAGATACAGTACCTTTGACATCCTACGAGACGAACTGGAGGTCATTCTCAAAGGTCAGACACCTACACACACCCACACAAACAAAGACCAACATTCAGTGAGACAAACATATGGACACCTAGTGTGTCTGTTTTCAGTAGAGTAATGGTACTTTCTTTACTCCATGATTAAGACGTGTTAAGCAAACTAGAAGGGTAAGTCATTTTCAATCCACTTGCTTCATAAGAGGAATGAGAACAGCTTGATTGAATTGTTTGAGAATGCGAGCTAAAGAGGACTGTACTTTAGGGACTGCAGCTCTATAGATATCACAGATGCCATGGGAGTTTGACTTCAGTCACACTTTGTGAGGGGAGAGTTTGTCAACACGAGCTGGCATTATAAGTGTGTGCGTATTCATAGCCGCGGGAAGTCATTTTGCTCAGTGGGTGCTGCCAAAAGTGAGGATGGAGCCGTTTAAAAAAACGGCTCCATCCTGTTTGTGTAAGGCGAGACACGGCAGGCAAAAACATCGTTTTTCATGCACTGGTCAATTTTGAGATGTTGTGCTATTTTGATTCCATAACGTGTTTTCTTTCAGGCTTTTGGAAGGAAAACGTACAAAATACACATTTAAGTGTTCATTTTACTATAGTTTGTCTATTTGCATCTGTATATTTCTCCTAAATTCACCAAAAGTTAGCATTCTAACGTAACATAAAGTATCGCGATCGCTGTTTGCACAATGTCATCGTTGGAAAAGCTCCGTCTCTCCTGCACAATGATCTCATAGTCATCGGATCCAAATATGGTCATTTCCTTTGTATCAGCAACCAATCGTGAAAGTACAAAAGGGTCTTAAACCAAGAAAATAAATCTCATTGGCTGGTGTCAATTTCTGACAACGTGATTCGTTCAGATGCATCACGTGGTGTGCTAAAACACTTCCTGGTTAGCTTTCCGCTAGAAATGTAAATCTCAAAATGGCAAAAGAACGGCGAAAAAAAACGTTCACATAGAAGACAACAACAATTGTCACTTGCACGAAGCAAGGTTATACAAAACACAAATGACCCGGAACATGAAATACCTTCACGGAGTGCGTCGAGGCGCAAGCTATCATCCAAAGAACAGGAGGGTTTAGCTAGCGCCTCACTGCAATCTTTAAAGTTCGTTTTCTCAAAATGAGTTTTTTCTCCTACTCTGAGTCCGAAATGTCCACTTCAGTTGCACTTACATACACCAAACCTTCTAGTTATATTCCTATCAATATTATGAAGGCTTTTACAGAAGGGTTTGTTCATATATCATTCATAGCCTGAATTATATAAGATTGTATACCTAGAAACATGGCGAAAATTGATATTTTAGGGCTGTTGACAATATTTTCTGATTTATGGAGTGATAAAGAGAGATATCCAAAATCCCTTCGGTGAAAGCCTTTGATGCTAATATGACTACAAAATAAAACGAGAATTTTGAACCTGGCTTTATCCAAAGTGCAGATTTCGGTTCCTGAAATGTGTTAAAATATGCGCAAATGTAATGAGATAATGGATCATTTATATATATTACTTTAGTTGTAGAGGTGGTGGGCTGAGGAGTAGCTGGTGGTCCACTCTTTTTATTGGGTTGTTTGTTGGAGAAAAAAATCCAAAATCCTTTTTTGCACCATTCTAGAAAGTTGTCACTCTGCAGTGTGTGTGTCGCGTCAATTACGTCACTCTCACAAGACCTACGACCTAGATGACTCGGATTTTACTTATTTGGAAAATAAATTCAAGCCACCTGATATATACAAATATATACTATGACTATTATATGCTACTGTATACAGCTAATTTTATTTTAAGTAAAATCATAACTATTTTATGTAGTTTAATCATTTTTATTTAGGTGGTCACTCAGTTTTTCAAATGTACACCACTCGCCAACAGGGGGTGCTGCAGCACCCCCAGCACCCCTACTTCCCGCGGCTATGTGCGTATTGGGACATTGCATCAGACGGTTTTCTGAAGACGTCAACACAAGGCAGTGAGAAATCTTAATTGCAAGTGTGCGTGTCTCAGGTGTTTTACCAGCTTTCAGCAAGGATTAGAGAGTCCTTGTGGTATAGTTGATACAGAGAGGGTCAAGTGCACCACGTATGTGTGCAGTGGGCGTTGGACGCGGGGGTACACCGTACCCCCATTTATTTAGAGCATGATCTTTTTTTTAATAGTCTAATAAATATAAAATCATTGCCAGTATTATTAGTTGCAAGTGTGTATTTGTTGTAATAATGACAAACATAATACATTTCACAGTAATTATAATAAAAACGATTTCCTTAAAAAAATATGATTCACGCTCGTGACCCCGCGGCGAGCTGGGGGTGTGTCAGCTCGCTCGCAGCCCGCTGATTTTGCGGCAGCTCTTTCCCTCAAGAACGCTAACGAAATCTCTATAATGGCAGGCAAACATTTTTTACTTGACTTATTTTCTAAAAAATATATAATTTACAAGAAGAAAGGGGCTAGCAGCACCGAAGCTACAAGTGAAGCTGCTACTAGACTAGTAGGCTACTACATCATCACAAGAGCCGCCTAAAGACGTGGATAATGCTAGAACTAACGTTAGCTGCGCTAGCAACGTTCCCCTGGCTAGCTCAAGCTCACCTTTCCCAGAGGTAAAGGTATGATCGTAGAGATGCAATTTAGACCTATACATTGTTTATGTAACTTATGTGCCAGTGTGTCCATGGTTTTGAGTCTGTGTGGTGAGCGCAGCGCCGTCTGCTTTTTGCAGTACAGTAACCAAAGTAGGACTAAGCATACCGGTAGTGTCTGTGGACCTGTCTGCCCGTTTTGTGAGAGCACTGCGCACTTGTGTGGCATTGTTTGGGATCACCTAATTAAAATAGCATCCCCACTACACCACTGTGTGTGAGCGCTTGTGGATTTGTGTGCTGGGGTCTATACGTCACCTCAAGTTGTCTTTGAGAAGGCCATTTGTGTCCTGAACAGAGGTTGCTAAATGTTCAAGGGGCACACATGGACAAACAACCCTCTTCATCTACCATACATCTTCTATGTATATGCCAGATAATTTCACTATAACAACGACAGTACAGATTGGCTGCAGAAGAAAATAAATGATTCCAAGAGGCGAGAGACTGATCCTTAGTGAGATAGAACAAGTAGAGTTTAAAGTGCAGCTTGTCTTGTCGACTCAGATCATTTGCACTAGGGTTGAGCACTCTGTCTTTCCTGTGATATATATATATTTGTATAGCTCAATATAACATGTATTAGAGTGTAAAGATTGCTTGTAATGTAGTCATTTCTATATTCTTTACCTCAAAGGGTGTTTGTAGTGGCGAATGTGCATCTTTATTTAATGTATCAATATTATAAAAGTGTTTTTAAAATAACTATTACAGTGTGTGATACAAAATACTGGTTCTTATGCCTTTACAATTATTTACCTGAACATGAGATTTGTTTTTAGAGATGTATAATTGAATATCTAACAAGCAGGGCATATTATCATAGATTTGTAGGAAAAGGATTTAGGAACAATTATGCATGTTAACTTTCTGTTTTACATTGCTAACAACCTTCCACTCTCTTCTCCTCTTCTCCATGCCTTAACATCCATAAACATCACACACAGGGGGGCAAAAGGAAAACAAACATTGCTCAACAAGGGCTCATTTTTGACATTTTGTTACTGTATGCGAGTGTACGTACATAACATATATATTTGTGTAAGTGTGTGTGGCCTCATTTCACACTTTGTTACATTTTGACTGCCTCTGAACATATTCAGCAGAGTTCCCACTGATATTTGCTGCCTGTCTGAAAGCAGACATAGAGGAAAAATACGCTTTTGCAACTAATGATGAGGTGCTGGCAAAAGTGCAAAGGTTGAGGTTTCAGAATCGCTGACTTGAACTGCTCTAAATGCTGCATTTACAGTAGAAAGCAATGGAGCAGCCAAGAACTGGTCGTAATCATTCAACAGCTTAAATCCCCACTAACCGTCAGTGCTGTGCTCGTTCCTTCATGGTATCTGGCTTACCAGTCGGAGATGGAATGTCTATACTTTCTACACATATTTTCAGGTTTACTCTGTGTTTGAAATAAATACAAATAGCACTGCATTTAAGATCATACTAGATATTCCCAAAGAACGTGTGCATCCTGTTTTCTTGCAGTGGAAATGAAAACCTCCTAGCTGTCAGAATTTATATTTTTCTTAGTGACTTATGCCTCGGCAGTCATAGGCCTTAGCAGAGTTGTGACCTCTACTCATCAAACATGTGACCTCTGATCCCGGGACCGGCTGCTGTGTCCTGCTTGGACACCACCGCCTGCTGATGGACGAATCCTTTTTTCTGTCAACAGCTGCAGGGGCACGAAAACACCTGGACACTGCAGTGGCGCTCTAGGCTGCATGACAGCAATAAAACAGGCTCTGCGAGTGTGTATGTGTGTGAAAAGCTGTGTAGATGTGTGGCTGCTTGTAAATACCTTGGATTGTTGGCTGCTGCTATAAAAGGCCATAAATGATTCATAATGAGGATCTGCACTGTGATTGTAGCCACAGCTCAATGTGTATGAGCATGCCTGTCCAAGTTTGTTTTTTCACCTCCCCCTAGTCAGGTGAGGCATACTTTGCAATAATATGCCTAATTGACCGTGAGTGTTTTAATTACAAATAAGCTTGTGTCAGGAAGGGGAAAGGGACAACAGACAGAAGAGGGTGACATAAATCATTTTTATCCAAACTAACAAAAATAGCAGAATAGTTCTGGTGGAATTACAATGAATAGTATTACTGTAGTAGGGTGATATAAGACAAGTCAGATGAGATACACATGAGCTACAGGGATTCGGGTAACATAGAGTAGAACTTTGTAGCCAGAGGATGATGCTATATTGAGAAAAGCTTTGAGGATTGGTCAGGAAATGTGAAACGGTATGTGGTAGTCATCTCCAAGCTAAGCTCTATGATGCGTGCATCCTTCTGGGCTGGGCATGTACGTAAGTGCACTGCTACATTTCTGTATCACACAAAGTGTACTTGCATG